CTGCTACTACCGAACAGCGCGCTAAGAACGAGCTCAGTGAGGTACTTTTAGACCGAGAGGCCCTCAAAACGAACGAAGTCGTAGTTCTCGCGATCGGAGACGAGGCTCGGAAGCGAGCAACTAGCGAGCTAGGAGCCGTTCGTGTTGGTGCGTTTGGTTATCCGATACCCGATGCTACGTTGGCTGTCGTCGACCCCGAGACTGGCTTACTGGCATCACCACATGCGGTTGGAGAACTTTGGGTCGACTCGCCTTCACTGTCGGGCGGATTCTGGGCTCTTCCTAAGCATACAGAGCAAATATTCCACGCCCGTCCGTACAAGTTCGACCCAGGTGAGCCGACGCCGACACCTGTGGAACCCGAGTTCCTGCGAACCGGCTTGCTAGGTACGGTAATTGAGGGCAAGATCTTCGTCCTTGGCTTGTACGAGGACCGAATCCGCCAGAAGGTCGAATGGGTAGAGCACGGTACTGAAGTCGCGGAGCACCGCTACTTCTTCGTGCAGCATCTCGTTGTCAGCATTGTCAAAAACGTACCCAAGATCTACGACTGCTCGGCTTTCGACGTCTTTGTAAACGAAGAGCATCTACCAATCGTAGTGCTTGAGTCGCCAGCAGCGTCAACGGCCCCTCTCACCTCAGGAGGACCTCCGAGGCAACTCGACACAGCACTGCTCGACTCTCTCGCCGAAAGGTGCATGGATGTTTTGATGCAGGAGCATCACTTGAGGCTGTATTGTGTTATGATTACGGCTCCTAATTCTCTCCCTAGAGTGGTGAAGAACGGACGCAGAGATATCGGTAACATGCTTTGCAGGCGAGAATTCGACCTGGGCAACTTGCCCTGCGTCCATGTCAAGTTCGGTGTTGAACACGCCGTTCTCAACCTGCCAATTGGTGTTGACCCAATCGGAGGCATCTGGTCGCCGATTTCATCCGACTCACGCGCCGATATCCTCATGTCCGCCGACAAGCAATACTCTGGTATCGACAGAAGAGAAGTTGTCATTGACGATCGCACATCCACGCCATTGAACAACTTCGGTTGCATCACCGACCTCATCCAATGGCGTGTCGCCCGGCAACCCGAAGAGCTCGCTTACTGCACCATAGATGGTCGTGGCAGGGAGGGCAAGGGCGTTACTTGGAAGAAATTCGACACGAAGGTCGCAGCTGTGGCGTTGTACCTGAAGAATAAGGTCAAGGTCCGCCCAGGCGACCATCTCATCCTCATGTACACACACTCCGAGGAGTTCGTCTTTGCGGTTCACGCCTGTATCAACCTTGGAGCGGTGGTCATCCCGATGGCTCCCCTTGATCAGAACCGTTTGAATGAGGACGTTCCGGCGTTCTTGCATGTTGTTGCTGACTTCCGCGTCAAGGCTGTCCTGGTCAACCAAGATGTCGACCACCTCGTCAAGCTCAAGCCTGTTGCGAACCACATCAAGCAGGCCGCGTCCATTTTGAAGACCCCGATACCCCACTACTACAACACGACCAAGCCGCCTAAGCAGAGCAGCGGATTGAGAGACAACGGCATCATGATGCAACCCGCCTGGATCCAGTCGGGTTATGCTGTCATCATTTGGACATATTGGACGCCTGACCAGCGCCGTATTGCGGTTCAACTAGGCCACGATACAATTCTGGGCATGTGCAAGGTCCAGAAGGAGACGTGCCAGATGACAAGCTCGCGCCCTGTTCTTGGGTGCGTTCGCAGCACAACTGGTCTCGGATTTATTCACTCGTGCCTGATGGGTATCTACATCGGAACACCGACGTACCTCCTTTCACCTGTCGAGTTCGCCCAAAATCCCATGTCACTATTCGTCACGCTTTCGAGGTACAAGATAAAGGACACCTACGCTACCCCGCAAATGCTGGACCATGCCATGGCCATGATGCAGGGCAAGGGTTTCACCCTCCATGAGCTCAAGAACATGATGATCTCGGCCGAGAGCAGGCCACGCGTGGACGTGTTCCAGAAGGTACGGCTTCACTTCGCCGCTACCGGCCTCGACAGAACCGCCATCAACACTGTTTACTCGCACGTGCTTAACCCTATGATCGCGTCGAGATCATACATGTGCATCGAACCTATCGAGCTCTGGTTGGACACCAAGGCTTTGCGTCGCGGACTCATCTACCCCGTGGATCCCGAACAAGACTCTAAGGCTTTGCTCCTTCAGGATTCCGGCATGGTCCCTGTATCAACACAAATTGCCATCGTCAATCCTGAGAGCCGACTACTCTGCCACGATGGCGAGTACGGTGAAATCTGGGTGGACTCGGAGGCTTGCGTTAAGAGCTTCTATGGCTCCAAGGACATTTTTGACGCCGAGCGTTTCGACGGCCGGACAGTGGATGGTGATCCGAGCATTCAGTACGTCCGTACTGGTGACCTGGGTTTCCTGCATAACGTGAGCAGGCCTATTGGTCCTGGAGGTGCACAGGTTGATATGCAGGTCTTGTTCGTTCTCGGCAACATCGGTGAAACATTCGAGATTAACGGTTTGAGTCACTTCCCCATGGACATTGAAGCATCTGTGGAACGATGCCACCGAAACATTGTCAGCGGTGGATGGTAAGTCATGTGCACGACCCCCGTATTGTACAAGTGCTAACAAACGCAGCGCCGTCTTCCAAGCCGGTGGTCTCGTTGTCGTACTCGCCGAAATTACCCGCAAGGCGTATCTCGGTTCCGTCGTCCCAGTCATCGTCAACGCCATCCTTAACGAGCATCAAATCATTGTCGACATCGTAGCCTTTGTCAACAAGGGCGACTTTCCCCGATCCCGCCTCGGCGAGAAGCAACGCGGCAAGATCCTCGCCGGATGGGTTACTCGTAAGATGCGTACCCTAGCGCAATTTGCCATTCGGGACATGGATCCTGCAAGTATGGGAGGCGACCCTGGTGTTCAGGACGGACCCGATCCGCACCGCGCTTCTATCGGCAGCCAACGTAGTATGGGTGGCTTGGCGCCTGGCTCCTCCAGCCTTCGCAATGTCGAGCACGCACCACAGATTCTGGAGCAGGAAGAGTTCGACCAGCAGCACGGACACATGGCTGCCCTGCCTTCCCAGGGCCAAATCGCAGAGATGCCGGGCGACGAAGGCACAATGTACCAGGGTCAGGCAAGCGCGCAGCAAGGTCACGGGTACGACCTGCCCGACTTCAACCAATTCGGTGGCGACGAAGGACCGCCGCCAGTCGGAGCGAAGCCGGGGTCGAGAGCAGGACCGGGAGGACCGCCACCTCAGATCAATCTACCCGGTGTTGATGGACGTGAAAGCATGGATCTGTGGAAGAGCAAGGACGGCGGCCAAGACGACGACTGGACTGCTCAAGCATTGATGCACATGAACCTTGCCAGTGATTTGGAGAAGAGGCATTGATGGCATTGAACATAGGGGGGCATTGTGGCCCTTTGGGCTTGGTTTGTGTTTTATTCTGTTAAGCCTTGGGTGGCAGTCTGCGGCGTCGGACATGGTTACGATACCGTAGTTGGGATTATGAAGTGTTTGGATAGAGGATTCCCCGTGCATGCCTCAAAAGATCATTTTTAATTCATCATCGCCCTTTGTTTCTAAGGTTTTTGCGACATGGAAAACGTAGCACGGGGCGTGTGTTCTTGTCGCTCTCAAGACCCCGAGAGCGATATAAAACCCCTCACAATGCGATTCAAATGAGATCCACACAATGTCTCGGGTTCTCATCAGTGACAAGATAGGGTGACCATGTCTTTAAACAGGTTGCAGGCCGGTCTTTCTCCGTCAGTGGCTCAAGATCTTGCCGTTTAGAGTTAATGACGTTTCTCCATCGCAAGATGTTAGTGAGTATTCTTCCGCCATACAGTCATATTCAAACAGGACAGAGATGGACGCGGGCAAAGGGCGGTTGAAGCGCTGTGCAAAGGTGCCGCATCTAGTTACCGAATTCGCAGATCAAAGCTGGAATGAGCTATCCCAAAGCCTTGGGGTACGCCCAGAAACCAATCGATCCGAGAAAACTACTTTGCCCCAGCTTTCCAAATCCCTCGAAAGTATCATACCATTCTACCAATAGCTCCCGTTAGCAACGTCTTGATGTCCACGATAGGAAGATACTTTCTGCCACATCTACAGGCACGAATATTTGAATTGGGCCCGGCTCTGTCTTATATAAGACACACTTCGCACATTCCATGATCTCCAGAAAAGCCAGCAATGTGGTTGTGAATTTGGGTTGCACGGCTCATATTCTGACTTGTCATAGCTGATGGGACTGCTCTTGTTCTGAGCAAGTCGTAAGCCTTACGGTGGTTTGTTCTCTCGGTTTATCTTTGTCTCTGTTGTTCTTCGTAGTACGATTTGTTTATTCCATAACTTTATTCGGTACGCATGCTTTTATCAACGATCGAGGGCACAGCTTCATTGCAGGCTTTGGGCTGTGCGCGAGAGCTGGCTACTCTGTCGAGTTCCGTTAGCACGTGTCCTGCGAGTCATTCTTGCGGAAGTTTAGTCCATAAATATTCGACTGTCCTTAAATAGTCATGGGCTTCGTAACTGGCTGGGTGTGAGTTTGTTAGACATAGAAAGGTTTACAGCGTCGTTACAAAAGCATTGACCTTGTCACCACATGTTGCAGCATAAAGGCTGTCGCGAATGGAACACGACTTGATCGAGACATGAATGGCGTGTGAAGATCGTTGAGTATTTGAATATACGAAAAGCGAGGACACATCGACATGGGCTTATCGTCGTGCGCGACGCTGATACATTAGTGCTTGTTACATGTAGTTTCGTGGTGCCTTCTCAATCTCCCTTTCTTCAGGTATTTCTGATGGAAACAAGTTAAATGCCATGTCTGGACAGTCAATCCTTCCTTATATTCTTACTACCTTGGATAGCTAAAAGTTGCAGCTGACATTGTGCACTTATCACCGTTTAAGTAGTAGCTCATAAGCACTTAGTATCTTCCGCTCTTTTAACGTCCCAGCTCACAAGATGCTGCTCCGATGCTAAGAATCGCTTTCCTCATCACTGTCCTCGTCGGATTCTGACTCTTCTTCGGGCAGCTCAAGGGCTTGTTTTAGCTCTTTTGTCCATTGTCGTACCGGCTTTACCCCCTGCCTCAGATCTTTGTAGGAAGATTTAAGTGGCTCCGGGAGCTCTTCTACGTCAAGGAGTCCGTTGTCATCGATGTACTGTTCCACGTAGCCTATCATTGGCATCGCGAAAGCCCCTACACGCGTTGACGAGTCGCGTGCATAAATGCGCAGGAATGCTTCCAAGAGAACGTGAGCTTTGGGGACCACCACTGGTTCTTTTGATGACTTGAAGACGCCTGAACCATGACCCGGTCTCCAAGAAGGGAGAGCGCTGTCATCGGAGGCGAGGACGAATTGAGGCGGGAGTTTGTCTGGGCACAATAGATTGCTGTCCAGAGGTGGTAAGAACCAAAGAGTCTCCGAATAAAGATAGATACCAACCGTGATTTCTGATTGGTCGATGTGAAAGTGATGGGCGGGCGGAGGCGTGTGTCTTTCTTGTGAGCTTGTTGGGCAAGTTTCTGGGTGAGGACACGGTCTGAGGGTATCTATCCTGCCGATAGCATCGATTCCGGCCGTCAAAAACTCGTCTGGAACGACGAAATCAACCGACTGAAAGGTGTTAGGACCAAATTCAACATCGCATTGGTCAAAGCACTCACTGAGATGATCGAAGGTATGCCGTGAACATTGAGTAGATGCTGGCCCCATAGAACGCCGGGAATTTGGGAAGATTTGAGTGCGCATGCTATCGATGCTACAAACGATTCCGAGTCATCTGACATGTCCATTTTTTTTGTGTTGTGAAAATACAAAGATAATACTGGTGCTGCTGGCAGACGTGGATGATGAGAACACACAAGCATGAAGTGTTATCACACGTGATGTTCTAGGTTCGTTGGGACGGGAGAGGTTTGGCTGTCTTGATTTGCGCTAAATTTAGCGATTCACTGGACATTGGGCTGAATGGGTTCGGCGCTTGGACAGCCTATCACAATGAACTTGCCATCTACAAACACCTCCAACCAACGATTGATCACCAGTCACATTGGGACGTGATGTCCACCTTGTCAGAAATGTCGCACTTGGAGAGTTTTGCCCTTTTCCAAGCTCTACCTCCCGAACTGCGAATGAAAATATGGGGCGACGCACTTTCGGAGCCGACTGTTTGGGCCGCGGTTAGCAGAGACTGCGGAGGTTGCTCATCCTGGGCAATGGCCTACGTCGGGCAGGTGCCATATCTGGCCGGACTCGCATGCAGAGAGTCTCGGCGGCTGCTGAGGAAACTTTACACATCGCCCCTCCGAGGACCAGGATTAGCGACAAGTTTTGGCGCCTACTGGGTCAATCTGGAGAGCACAGTCGTCTACCTCGGTAGCTCATCCAACGCAACCGACCTCATGGAGGCTTTCAGCGTGGATGGCTTAGCCAGATTCAGACATGTAGCTCTTCGATGGTACCAATTCGGCAGACTTGCCAGGACGTGCCAACGGTTGGCAGAAACATGCCCGGCGCTTCGCACGATCATTATTCGACGCGACGAGTCAGACGATGTGACCAGTGAGTCGGTTCGTGATGATCTGGATCCAGACTTAGCCGCCTACTACACGACGATCCCAGGTTCCGTCGACCCCGAAACATCACACGACAAGCTAGATGTCTCTCATTTCCGCTCACTTCTCCTGGAATATTTTGGAGATTCTCCTCCCAGAATATATTTGGTCCCCACCAGTTCCGCGAACTTTCAAGGATGAGAGCATGGCCTATTACACACGACCATAACTCCTCGTGTTGGTGCGGCCTCTCCAGACGAAACCATCCAATGGAACAGACTGATTCTGTGGCGCCCAGAAATGCTGTTGGTTTGGTCGTTGGGACGCAGGCAGGCAGCGCCAAAGGAATGCTCCAAATGTCAATCGGCATCATATTCTCTGTATTAATAGAGGCCGAATCTCCGTGTGACAATGGCTTGAATATTCCAGTATCGCATCACACAACATTCGTCTCTGTATTCATCACTTGTATATTACACATTATATTCATCATTCTATAACCATGCCTACTCGTATCCAACTTGAAGCTGCCGCCTCTGAAGTCATTTCTGTTCTTAAGGGGATAAGAGAGTTCTCCAATGCCCGGATTGCAGTCATTGGCGGGCTAGCTCTTTGGAAATATCTGCCCAATGGTAGAACCACTGAGGTATATCATATCAAGCACGTGTGTACTTTTCTTCAAGCTAATTTGGTCTTAGGACGTTGACTTCATTATCAACATCGATAGTGCTCCGCAGGGAGTCAAGCAGAGGCTCCTGAGCCTTCCTAACTCTCCCTTCATTCAACAAGCCCAATTTTTCTACTATAAGCATGGGTCAACGTATACTCAAATTGACATCACTCCTCAATGGCAGGTCAGTTAACCCTCAAGAAAGACGCTAACGATTCTTCGTCATCGCGTTCTATCAAAAGACGGTAAAATGACTTTCTTCTAACATTATGACATTCAGTCTCCATATATGCCAACTGCTGCATTGGAAGTTAGGACCGTGCCAAACGGTGTTATCCCCTACATCTCGCCAAGTGATCTTATTGTTTTCAAGATCAACTCTTGCGGGTTGCGAGCTCAAGCGGCCAAGAAGCGTACCGATGCCGCGGATGCTCAGGCGTTGCTGGAGTTTGCGACTAAGTCTTCGGCTCTAAGTCTGACGAGTGCTCAGAGAGCTGTTGTGGAACCTTGCATCGCTGATGTTGTTACTCATGGATCGAAGAAAGAAAAGTGGTGGAAGGAGCGCCTCGGTCTTTGAATCTTTGTATCCGCTTTTGGACCACAAATGTAAGCATAGTTTCGTAGTTGCCGTAGTAGAGTTTGGCTTTTGGTAGATTCTGCTGTCTTTTCCAAATTGATACGTGTTGGAATCAGAGTTCGCATCAGCAGTTTGTTAAGAATTCAATTACAAAATTGGTCAAGTCTGATGACGTCAATTGACAAATTGACAATGTTGTTTCTGGAATAGTGATGCCTGCGGGAGGATTCTAGGAAGACAAGATCAAACACAAAAGTATCAATCCTGTCGTTAATCACGTGCCAAATGTTGTCAACCGTTATGGACAAGCTTCAACTTACTTCATCACATGAATTTCCCGGGATTCAAATTAAATATAACAATTCTTTGGGCTTCGTTTGGCTATAAATAAGTCTTGTGTTTGCTAAGACTACTCTAGAAGCTTCTCCTCATCAAAGCCAGCGGCTTGAGAAAAGTAATATCCTCTTTGGTTTGTAACAAGCCTCAAAGGCTCAGCTCCTTGATCCCGTTCAACAGTAAAATCACAGTTGAAATGCGTGTGGCCAAACGCCCAAATCTTGACTTTGCCGCTCTTGAAGCATGCTTCATCCGACAGATCCGTCGCAAAGCCTGGCGTGATAGGGCTTGTAGCATGCCTCGGGTCCAGAGCACGACTGTCATTTGAAGGGCTCCAATGCGAGAAGATGATGATCCGCACATTAGACTGCTCGAGTTCTGTGACCTGGGTGTTGAGCCAGGCCAGGTCCCGTTTGTGGGCGATATTATGCGGGTCAATGTCCCACTCTTCTATTTGAAAAAAGTCTTGTAGTCCCATGGAGACGTGGTCGTGGCTTTCAGGAGGAACGTGAGAGAAGAGGCTACACCCTAATACAACGATGTTCGTATCGGGCACCTGGAAAATTGTTCGGTCCAGCAAGACAAATTGCCCTAGCGACGGGTTGGCACTAACGTCTTTCTCAAATGCGCGAAGAATCTCGAGTGTTTCGTGCCAGCTTGATCGATACGCTTCGTGATTTCCGGGGACGAACAGCACGACGCGGAATTGGCGAAGTTGTTGGGTCAGGAAGGTGAGACAGTCGTGCTTGTGAGCCGCAATATTTCCAATATCTCCCAGCAAAGCCAAGATTTGGGCTTTCGGGGTGATCTTAAAGACGTCATACGCCTTGGGCGACTCCAAGTGTAAGTCAGAGAGAATCTGAATCGCCATGTTGGTGAGGTGCAAGGATGAAGAAGTTTGGAAATGCAAGTGCTGCCCGACGAGAGGAGTTGCGCTAAATTGTACCAACACATAGTGCTAAATTATCCGGTCGCTGATACGCACACTGTGCTTCCAACGTCGCCTCACAGAGTCTGGAGCGTTTTAACTGTTCGACTGATACCGCCCGGGAACTCAGCGTTTATCAATTTCTTGTATCTAATTGTAAGTATTAGACCTTCTCACGAACCAAAACCACGAGACAGTACAATCTGGGCCTATACTGGGGACATTTTGTACAAATTCTATTTTGCTTTCGGTTTTTGAAAGCAACAGTTTCGACTTCTTTCCACTTGGAACAAGGAAATTCGGTAAGAGATTCAGCTGAAGATTTATATGACCTCAATTGTCTGGAAATGTCCTGTCCGAGACTTGACAAATTCCCCATCCATGATCCCGTGAACATACGCCTCTCCAACAACCAAGAAGCCACCGTCAGTAACAGGACGGAGAATAAAAGGCACATCTGCACCAAGTATAACCCACACGGAGTCTCCGTCCCTCGTTTCCAAAGGTCCAAGTCCAATATACCCTTTCATACATCCAAAAGGCCGTCTTCTGCGTAGTTTGACGCTCGCGATATTGGCGTACTTCACGCCTTGGCAGACCACGCCGCTCCTAAGAGCTTGGTACGCTTGAAACGTCTTTAAACCAGCCCTCTCCGTTTCCCAATTATACGCATATGCCCTATCTGCAATCGGGGTTCTCCACAGAGCCTCTTGCACATCGGTCGGAGTAGTGTATACCTCACTTGTCTCTCCCACCAAGACTTCAAGGTCTTCGATCCACGATGCGAGAGAAGCTACACGCGCCAAATCACCTGCAAGATTGTCCGCTTCAACATTCGGTGACCCCACCTGTTTTATGTCGTCCACACGCAAGGCTTCTAACGACATCCGCTTGCCTGAGATGAAGCATCCCGATAAACTCTGCGGACGGCCTGCCGAAGCAGAGTACGCACTTCGTAGGTTCCCGCCCCGAACAACAAAGTCGGAGGTGATGCTCAAAGGCTGCGGTATGTATTGTGATGACCAGTCTGGCGCCCAAGAAGGAGCTCGTTGTACGTTCGCAGCTGCTGTTCCGTTTTCCTGACATGTACCCGCAAACGAAAGTAGTCTCGGGCCGTAGAAGCTCAAGCAAGCTGTAGCAACTTCAACTTGCACCGTGCTCCAGTCTTTGCTGTAATCTGCAACAATCGACGGGCTCTTCTCTGGATCAATAAGTCCCAGAAGCGCAAAGACATAATCCCGTGGGTCCGAGGCTTGAAGCTGCTGCTGAGGGGTGGTTGCCATTCTGGATAACAAGGAAAACAACGTAAAGAACGACGAGTTTGACCGCGTAAAAGCGACTGGAATCACTCTGTCCAGAGCCGTCGTGAGAAACAGCGCCAAAGCAGAGCTGTCTTGCCGCCCGACACCGGTGCCGACGATGTTGAGATAGTCTCGTAGGCCGCACAGGAGCCAAAAGCCCCAAAAGAACCTGCCCCAAACAATGTCTGCACCGCCGCAGCAAACAAATGTATCGGACGACAACACACGTTCTTGAATGACCCAGACACGCCGAAACCAGGGTCTGCCGAAAAGCGAACTTATTGCCGCTAGTTTTGTCGAACCCCCTCGAGAGAGATTGGCCAGAATTCCGTCGAGAATTTTCTGGGTTCTGATCACTCGGCGAGTGGATGGGGTGTCGGAAAATGGAAATTTGGTCCAGCTGGGGACGTGGTCGTGGAGCCTTAGTCCTCTCCTCCCCAGTGTGTGCAGCGTCTCGATAGCAAGGTCGCTATGCTCGTCGGCCGGTCCCAGCCATATCATGGTTCTTGTCGCCGTGCTGAAGATGGCGCCCATCTGGGCGACTTGCTGCGTCCTCTCAGACTCGTTGTGCTGGTCGATGCAGATAGCGTCGACCCATAGTGTCGGCCCTGGTTCTTCATCGTTCCCAAAGCTGCTCGCCACATGCCTCAGCGCCGACTCCAGATTCTCAGTGACTTGAACGTTTCGTCCGTCTAGGATGATGGCGCGAGTGGCTGTTGAGTCTCCCCAAGCATAGGAGAGTGCTATGTACTTAGGATTAGTGTACAGACTGGCGTGCTTCAAACGACAGCGGACCGGCGATTGTGTGTCGATCTTGTGGAGAGGATCAACCTCAATGAGGCGGATCTCTTTCTCTAGTGGGCTCAGGGGCCGGTACGGAAATCTGCCAGCGGTCTGACTGCGAGCATAACCAGTCATTGCTCTCTGTTGGATTGTAGTCTGCGGTAGTGTTAGCAACCACCCGTGTGGAAGAGAGGGGCTAATTCTGAATGATAATCCGATAGGCCAAGTTGTGCGTCGAATCACGGGACCAACAGGCCTGTCTAGAAAAGTTGTCATGCCGAAACCTCCACAATCCCTTTCGGAGACCTCGACCAACAACACGAGAAAGTGCATTCAAGCCAACCACGGCCGTCACAGCGATGAAGATGCACAATATGAAGATTAGCATGTTCTAAGCCAACTTAGCAGGTTTGTCGCCCTCCGTGAAAGTCTCCCCTAGCCATGCCAACACATCCTGACCAAACACAGCGGGCGTCTCAAGCAGCGCCCAATGCCCACCCCCCCTCGTCACAACCTTTACATGAGGCAAAAGCCCAGCCTCGATACTCGGCTGGAGACCTGCAGGCCTGCAAACGGCATCCTGCTCGCCGCCCCAGTACAACGTCGGCACCTTCACCGCCACGGCATCTTCGGCGATCAACTTGTCCGCCTCGTTCTGCACCTTGGCGACCATGGACTTGTACCAGCACTGCGGCGCCTCAAACCCGGGCTCCTTGCCGAGGCGCTCCATAAAGTCCGCCTTGTGCTCGGCTGTGGCGTACGGGAGCGTGGGCTGCGTCTTGCCCTCCGTCACCCACCTGCGCATGCCGCCGGGGCTGGTGAAGGTGTCACGCCAAGAGGCCGGGTCGCCGAAAGCCGCGCAGTACACGGCCTCGAGGTTGCGGTTCATCAGGCCGGGCCCGTCGTCCGCGGCGAAAAGGTGCCAGTACTCAAAGAGGCCTGCGCCGAACACCTGGCGGGTGATGTTGTTCACTGTGTCGAGGTCGAAGTCGCCCATCGGGGGCATGTATGTGACGTTCACCATGACGAGCGCCGAGACCCGGGCGGGGTGGAAGTTGTAGAGACGCTGGGCGAGGGCGCTGCCCCAGTCGTGGCCCAGAGAGATGACCTGGTCGAGGTTTTCGGCGTCGAGGATCTCGACAATGTCGGCCGTCATGTGCTGCCAGCCGTACGCCTTCGGGTCGGTGGGCTTGGATGAACCGCCATAGCCGAGGCAGTCAAGGGCGAAGACACCGTAGCCGTGTGGGATGAGATGATCGTTGATCAGGCCTGCCCAGAGTTTGGCTGAGTCGGGCCAGCCGTGGAAGAGGGCGAGAGTGGGCTTGGATTTCTGGGGAGGGGATGTGTAGTAGGTGTAGGTGAATCCTCGTGAGACCTGGAGGGTCTTTTGGGTGAGCTGTGAGAGGTCCATGGCGGTTGGTCTGGTCTGATTCTTAGTACCTTTCCATAGCAGAGATCTAAAGTTGCGGGGGGAGACGTGCGAGCTACTTATACAGTGAAGTGGAGTTTTCGAGGTACAGAAGTCCCATGCAACCAGCCGTCACGCCAAACCTCAAGTAACCTCGTCGTCTCGGTCAAGAGTTGCACATGACCCGAAAGACACCAACGAAGCTTTCTAAGATACGACTGAACCCCGGGTTTTGCCAGATTACTAATATCCATTCGGGACCTAATAGTAAACAGGATCGACCAAGTCCGGGTTCTTCGGGGATCATGAAACCGCAACACTGCATTACTCAACTTCCAAACTGTTGTCTCGTGCGGGGTTGAAGAGGACAGAGTCTCACAGCTGATATCAATTGGCCAAAAATAATGGGTACATCGGCGAAAATCAGAGGGGAAAATTGGAAAAGAAGCAGGCCCTGGTCGAGTGCTGAGTCGATAAGAAGACGAGAGCCAAGCATTGAGCATAGAGATGCATCATCGTGTTCCATCAGCCTGCTTCCCGCAGCTTGGCTGCAGCTAGTGAGGGGTGACTTCTGGCAAGAACCCATCAGAATGATAAGGTTTTGCAAAAATTGTTCATCAGGTAGTTGGACTTCCAACTGCCCTCGCGGGTTAGCTGTTCGCGGGTGAGAATGCTGATGTCGGAACTAACCCACCAGGCCACCGCCAACACCACCGAGGCGTCCGGTGCCCATTAGTCAGGCGAAGTAACTACCAACCTACTCAAAGAAAGACACATGACACCTCAACAAGAGTTGTGAACACTGAAAGATATTTTGCGAAGTGTTTTGTGATTGCGTTATTTCATACGTGGTCCTAATTAATGCGTGATCCGGCCCTCTTCTCACACCCTTCAAACATGCAGATCCTGAACCTCCTTGCAAAGAATCTCTACTGGGCGGAAAGTGCTTCTGAAGGGCGTGCGACCAATGATCAAGGTTTTGAACATGACTGTCTCCTCCTCTGAGTACGACTTGCCATCAGCATTAGCCGCCTCCTTCATCAACTGGGCCACGCTCTTGCCCTCCTGAAACTCGCCCTTGATACCACTCTTCTCTTCACCCCAGAGCTCGAAAAAGGGATAACCGTACTGAGCATATGTTTTGGCGTCGACAGGCGTGTTCGGAGCCGGCTGGCCGGTGAGCGCAGAAAACGACTCAATGTCCAGGATTGTGAGGTTCATCATCACCGAGGCCTCGATATCCCACACATCTGCAGGGTATGGGTCGGCTTCGATTGATTGTGTGATCAGACCTCCGGCTGCGAGACCCATTTCCTTGACGTTCGGGGTCGGCGCAGGTGCGCTTTCAAGCGCCCTTGTATCTGACTTCGCCATTCCAGGCGGGAGAGCTGCACAGGACATCAAGGTCATAGGTCCCTGGCTGCCAAGACCGCCTTTTCTACACCTCCCGAAATAACCGCCTCGGTGAACTGGCTGGGCGTGTGTAACACTCAGAGTGAAGGACTGAGGCGGGAAATAGACGTCGCCGAGCTTGATCTCATCGTCAAAGTCCATTCCGATCTCTCGGTGTCGCCTCGTCGCGTTGGTGTACTTGGAGAGGGACTGGTCCTGAACGGCAATGTCGAATTCGTCTCGGATGCGTTCCTTGACATCTTTCCAAGTGCTGTCGGGGGTGAGACCCTTCTCGGCCAGGTTGAAGGTGCGAGTGGTGACCTTCTGCTCCTTATTCTCATAGCGGACATCGAATTCGGTGGGAAGATGCTTCTTGATGGGGATGATCTCGATCTGAATACCGCCAACCTTCTCCTCGCCAGTGACCTGGGCCTCGACAGAGAAGCCGTTGCCCTTGGGCTCCGCAACGAACTGCCGAATCTTGCCATCTTCGGAGGCAATTCCGTCGAGCCAATGCTGCTCAGGGACGACCATGTAGTCCTGGATTGACTTGCCGCTGCTTAGCATCTTCTGTCTCTTTTCCTTGGTCTTCTCGTTCTCCGTCATGGGGAAGCCGGAAACAGCGTTGACGCCGCCAACGTAGATCTTGATGGCGAAGGGGGCAGCGGCAGTGAAGCTAATCCACATGGCTTCGCGTTGGTACATGGGGAAAAAGATGCCGCCCTTGTCGAGGATGTCTTTGGGCATGCCGGGGTAGTCGCGAATCTTGAAAAGCGGGAAGTGACCAAGGCCGGGAGGGAGGGAGTTGATGTCTCTGTTGTCGGGCACGCGAATAGTGCGGTTCAGGTGAATGTCGAGGGCATGCTCTTTTCCACCATGGCGAACGGAGATTCCAGTAGCAGGCTCATTTGGAGTTTGGCGGTCGACGCTGACGGTCAGTTTTCTGCTGGGGTCAAAATCGGCGGTGTTTGCGCGGATCTCTGGCATAAGTTCGATGGCGTCGCCTGCATTATCGTGGGTGGTAGTGACCATTTTGAGTGTTGATTTGGCTGTCAATCGGATATTGCGGGGAGAATGTGATGGTATTAAGAGTGGTGAGGTTGACGTTGTCGTTGTGGTGGTGATGATGGTGTGTGATGTCCTCTTCGGATTTGATGGGAGAGAGCAGTCTTGTATTCTTATACCTCATGAATGAGCACGACAGGGAGAATGCCACCTTCCTTACTTGATGGCCCTTTCCCAAACATGAGTCAATCGGATCGCAGTCTGCAAGCCATAAAGGCATGTAGTTGCCGTTGTGCGAGCATGGAGCCTCATGGTGGCGTTGAATGGGGAAGGACAAAGGATGAATGTCATTGGTTGCTTTCAGGCGAAGACTGGTTGCCTCCGGAAGCTTGTGCATTTGATTGGCCAGATCTGGCTGGCACTGCCCGATCTCAGGGCCTATGCTGCAGGCACGGGCCGCAAATTGCACTGGCTGAGGTTGAGTTTTGCGCAACGGCGTATTACTGCTCGTCGAAACTCGCTGCCACACAACTTCATCATTCCGCTGTACGTCCCAGGCACCGCAAAATTGGACAGGCTATGTATTCAAGGAGAAACTTGTCTATTCCTTTTGGAGCCGCCTAATAGCCTGCATTCAGCTCCCGAAAGCTTGAACACTGCTTGCCTGCCAGGCTACCTTTGTACCCAGCCAATGACAAAAACCACAGACGTGGTCTCTCCTCGGTGATGGCAAACGATGATGGCAGTCCAAGGCACCCAGCCCCTTGCCTATGTTTCCATCCTCAGAAACACGCAGAAATGTAGCGGCTCTTAGGAAACCACATTGTCCTTGCATCTTGTGATGCAAACTCTGGGTACCCAGACTGGACCACGTTTTTGACATCCGCACGCCTGCAGCATCAATCCCTGGACGACAGATCCAGCACCAACAGCAACCAAAGGCACCATCCTGTCTTGTCTGCAGTCAATTTAGCAGCTCAACCGCCAGCACTTCCTGCATCAGGAAATGGGCGGCCGCGCAATAAAGTTTCCTGTCAAGGGACTCTCCGCAGAGGCCCTGCCCCCTGCAGACCACCGTTCGAACCCCCTATCCATCCTCTCCATCCGCTGGCCAAGATCAGATCATCACCTCAGGTCGCTGCGGCCGCCCTGCCCCTGTGCCGCCCAAACGCCGGACGGGCCTGCTTGCTGCTCCGGTCGTCTCCCCCTCAGATCCATGTCCTCGGTACTGCTAGCTTGCAACACCAAGTCCTGATTGGCAGCTCACATGGAAGAACACCGCGAGAAGTGACAGACCCCGAACGGCGCGAATGCCGCCCATCAGGCCACCAAGAAATCCCCAACAACTTGCTGTGGGACCCTGGACGTTAGTGGAGGGGCGCTCTGCAATTCCCATAGGGCGCATCGCTTTGCCAACCGAAACCAAAGCCCGTTGTCGCGAACTGGCGGATCACCGAAGAAACGACAAGTGACAGAATGTTTGCTTTGGATTTTCTACTCCTACGCTTTCTGCTTCTTGTCGGCATGTTGCTCGGCGCTGCCCTCCTCGGCAGCCCGCTTGGCCGGCGTAATCTCGTCGCCCTTTGCCCTGGCCGCTCCGTCGTCGCCGTCATCGTCATCCGCGTCGTCCGCCCGCGCCCCGTCGTCACTCTCAAACTCGTCCATCATCTCCGTGTCGTCGCCCTCGAACAGCTCCCGCCAGCTGCCATCCCGCACCTTCTTGTCGTTCCCGTGGAGCCCGACCTGGTACGCCTGCTTCATCGCCCGGAGGCATATTGTTCTCCGTTCGTTGAAGTCGAACATGGGCTTCGGGTACACTCCCTCTTCCGTCTTCTCCCCACGCCCCGTCACCCGCACTCCGGCCTTCTTCTGATCCGGCAGCGGCGCCTTCCACGGCTCGTAAATGTACTTGGCGTCTAGCTTCTTGAGCTCCGGCACCCAACGCCGCACGAAGTCTCCGTGCTTGTCCCACTTCTGGCCAAACGAAACCGGGCTGTAGCACCGGAAGTACTGCGAGAAGAAAGCCGTGCAGCTCAGCCACTGCCAGTTGCCTGCGTTGGCGGCCGGCTCGTGGTCAATGAGCCACTCTTCAAAAACCTCGCAGCCGCGCTCCCAGTCGATGTAGCACCCCCCTCGAGTGAGGAAACAGGCCACTGAGTGCCGGCCTAAGTGGTGAATCCATCCCTCCTCTCGCAAGTGACGCATCAGGGCGTCGATCCACGGGAACCCCGTCAGTCCATACTTCCACCTCCTGAACCACTCGTCGGCCTGCTTGGAATCGACGTGGTACTCGCCAGTGATGAGCCCCGTCTTGGAGTCGACCTTGGATGGCAAGTGCCACGGGATGAATCGGCAGTAGGGGTTGTTCGCCGTCTGGGTGAATTTATACCCCAACGCGGCGTGCGCCGCAAAATACATGTCGCGGAACAACAGCTGGCCCAGCAGGTTCTCCGGTATCTTCGCAGCTCCCTTATACTTATCAATAACCTCCTTCGCTCTCCAGTAGAACTCCCGCACAGACAGCGCCCCAAAGTGCAGGAACGGCGACAGCAGCGTCGTCGACTGCGGCTCAAACGCCGCCGGGCTCGTCTTGGGCTTCTCAAACG